TCATAACATCATTCAATTTCATGGGTTGTCTCACTACCATTCACAAAGTTTGTTATCTTACACAATAGTTCAAAACATATCATCACAACAAATAATACAATCACCAACTATCTCAACATTAGGAACCAAGTTTCAACTATAACTCTCGCACATAACTTACCAACAATCACTCACTACTCGAGCAATCATCCTTCCTACTTCTCATAAGCCTTATAGACAAAGTCCACCTCCCTTGCTTACCAAGAGTCTTATATGAGTACACAAGTATCTCTCCCATCATTCTCCTTGAGATATTCCTTGGCGGAGTACACATGTGTCACTTTTCATCACTCTCCTCGAGATCTTCCCTAGTGAAGTACGTAAAGTTTCACTTCTCATCACTTTTCTTGAGAGCTTCAACGGTGAAGTACACATGTGTCACTTCCAACCACTCTCCCCAAGAGCTTTCCCGATAAAGTTCACATTTGGTGCGCAACTACGTAGAGTTACCCTTTCCACTACTCTCCCAAAGAGATTTATCTCGTGAAGACCATTGTCCCCTACTCTTCCATGAGTCTTATGGTGCAGCATCAACACTTAAGCTCACCACTAGAGACTGACAAAATGGAACACTTTTCATTTAGTCACCACCACATTCCCAACGAGCATATATATCATCACAATCATGCTAAATATCAAATCCACAATTTCTACTCGTATAAAATAATACATCACACAAAATAGTGATAAGGTTTTTGATGTTTTAAAAAATAATGAATTATTTTTATTACTCTTATTTATGAAAACTTTAATGGATTATAAGTTTGAGAATTGTTTTTTTCTAAATTTCACTTTCTCTTTAAAATAGTGGCATCATGGGTAAATTAAGTAAATTGTTAAGAGGTTAGTGACATCCTAAAAGGTATTACACATGGCTTCCTCTTCCTTCTACTCACCTTCTTTTTTTTCTTTTTTTTTCTTCTTCTCATTCATTTTCATTTAATTTATAATAAATGAGAAATTGAAACGCAATAAAAGGAATGAAATAACTTAATAAAGATAAAATTAAAATTAGGTGAAATGAACATATACTGAGTATGAAATTCCAATTTGGAAAATAATTTTATTTCTATTGAGCTATATAATATTATTTCTTATTTAATTGATTGGCTATAGTGAAGCATTAACAGCTACGTAAATTAATCTTTGGTAGGGTACCTCTAAAATGAAAGGACAAGGTAAGTGGCTGGGTGCCATCAGTTGCTGGTTGCTAAAGGTCCTAACAATGATTAAGGGCAGTAATTAAGTTAATTGCCACCAAATCCTCCCCCACCACAACTGAATGAAAGTGAAAGAATGTAGGTCCAAAACCCAGCCAACATAAACAAAATAGATGGCATTTTGCAAAAGTGTGACTCCAAAATGGCTGTTATCATAACCAAAGTATCATTTATCTAACACTGTAATCATTTCCATGATTCCTTCATCTAGACGCGCCTATATATAATATATGATATATGCACATAATATTAATAATGCAGAGTTAGGAGGAAGTGCAATATATAATCCAAGTGAGGTTGGATGTATTCACAGATTTTGGTGGAACCATATTCATACTCATCAATTCCGAGGCTGCAGATGACTTTGATGCCAAAAGTGCATGTGGGGCATGGAAGAACATTCAACCCTAATCCATTTTTTATGCTTCTTGATACTCCACTAAATTATCATATCATTATTAATAGTTTTACTTTGTCTACTTAATTATCATACCAGGAGTAGTTTTAGTCTTAGTTAAGGAACTCTTTCAGTATACTTTAATGGCAAAAATACACCCAAAGACATGCATCAAAATAATGATAGAGAGAGAATAATCACTTTTTATTAACTTTAGTTTTATGCGTTAGGATTACGAGTGAGTTTGGTCCTACTTTCAGAAGGAATAGGAAAAGATTCTTTGGTACCATTACTATTATTTCACAATCTATTATAGATAAAATGGTCCTAAAAAATGATTTTTTTTGCATTAAAAAAAATAGAATGAGTGATAGTAAAGGATAATATTAAATGAGAGTAAAAAAAATAGATATCAAAGTATTTGTTCGTGGAATAAGTTTAAATAACAGTACATATTAAAAAAAATATTCATATATACAATATTTCAAGATTTTAGATGTTTTTTTTTATATATAATGTTTATCACTCAGTGTCAAATATTCTTACTATTTCTCTCAGTGAAAATTGATGTATATTGAAAGTTTTCTGACTATATATGAAGGTTGAATCTTTTACGTGGTTATTTATTTTTAGAAATTAAGAAAAAGAAATTCAAAGATAATTCCTTCTTATCTTTCTCATTGTGTTTATTTTTTCATATTTAATTTTATCATAAATTTTAAGTGGTGTATATTAGTTATGTATACGACAAAAATGAGGTAATTTCTGAAAAATAATTTGAGTTTTAGCCAAAAGTTATTGAATTAAGACTATAGTGTAAAACAGTGTTAAATCTAAATAGAGGCTTAATATAAGAAATATGTTAGTATGATGACTTGACGAATATATCTCCATTTGGAATTAGAGTATTCCATAAGCATGATTTGAGAACATTACGTATTAGTGATTACATCTATCATTAAAATAACACCTATATCTCCAGCCTTTTACACACTGTTTGGTGCTCTTTCACCATCAAGACATGTCACAAAGAGAGAAAACTTTCCTTTTATAATATTATGAATTATGAATGCTAATCCCAAAATTTAAGGACATATAACAAAAGTAACAAAATGTTGAAAAATAGACAAAGCAACCAAACGCACTTATAGGCCCAGCTGGGTTCGTGATTGCATAGTTTCTCATCGCTCACATGCATGCTTTAATTTCCATGCACAGTCATCTCACCCACACAATCTCATATATAATCTTCGCATATTTTATTTTTTACATAAACAATTTCTTTATTTATATTCATAATATAATTTAATTTTAAGTTATAATCAACAATAACGTTGTTAATTTTATAATAATCATATCTATTTATAAATTAAACTTTTGAATATTTTTACGAAATTATTTTTCTTTTATATGTGCAAAAGACATAATAATAATCATCAAAGATATTGCACGTGAATCTACAACTCTATTATTAGATCTTGTTCTGTACAGGATTTTCATATATATCTATTTCCTTCCACACAAAAGTTGATATAAAAACTCCAAATATATTGAATAACATCCTCTTAAAATCGAAAACAAATTTATATACCAAATATTAAACACAAGCTCTAAAACAGCGAATTATTACACGAAAAATACGTAAACTAAAATTCCTTTTCATATTGGCAGAAGTGGTCCCACATATGAGGCTCAATTATAAATCTTACAATTGAAAAGGTATATATATGTTCATTGTTTGGAATATTTATCTTAAGAATTAATAATAATTGGAAAAGAAAAAGTTACTGGTGGATAAGGTCTTAAGACATCTCAATTTGATAGTTGGCTAACTAAACAAACCAACACTTTGTCTTTGTTTTTTTTCGTGTAGATGTTCTTTTATGCATATAGTGTTTTTTAAGGGCCACTTTCGAACTTTATTTTGACCTAGAAATCACCACGCCGTGAAAGAGTTGCTTTCGCTCGTTTTTTTTTTAATGTTTTAAAATTAATTTTAGATAAGCAAAATTAGTTTCAAGAAAAACAAAACCGTCTATCTTTTAAACCGAATGCATTCTTCTTTTTAATTCTGAAACTCATTTTCCTTTACTATTTAAATTAAATACTTTATTTTTGTATTTTCATTCTTGAATATAAATTCTTTTTTAAAAATCAATTCTATTATGCGCATCGGTTTGAATAATTAATTAAACTCACGATACACTTTAAAAAACAATTCTATTTTGTAGTTTGTAAATTCTAATGTCATTAATATTTAATTTTTTTATAAGAGAACCATTTTTATAAAGATGAGTGGTATCTAATTTTTTATTTTTTTTTTACTTATTGGTGTTCTAATACGGTAAGTCGTAATTTTTGTTTTTATCAATCTGAAATAAATTTACTTTGTAAGTTCTTTTTTATATGGATTAAGCTATTTCTTTACTTCATTTAAAAAAAAGAATTTAATTTCAGCATATTGTTAGTATAATTTCTTTATACTATTGACTAATTAAAATTTTGGATAGTGAAAATATAAAATTTATTTTACAATTTAAGTTTTCAGTACATATAATATTTATTTAAAAAATATCGAGGTAAATTCTTATTTAATTTAATATATGTTTAATTTTCCAAGAGATAAAATAAATCTGAATTTATTTATTAAAAACTATTTAAGTTACTTTTATTTTTCATGTAGAAATATAAATCCGAAACTTCTTATTATCAGACAAAATGTAAACTTAAAGAAAGTTGGGTTTGATGATTTTCTTAATGTTTTTTTTATGTATTATATTATCCACTGTCTCAGGTGGTGGCATATGCGTCAATAAGAGAAAGACGGAGGGCATTATGGGGTAAAAGGGAGTCAAAAGAACAACACCCGCCAAACAGCAGTCCCCGCTGTAAAACAACGTTAAAATAAAAAAGAAAAACCACGGTACGGTCCCATAATATGGCCAAGCGCGCGCACTCGCGCGTGTGCACGCCTTCCCGCTGTAGATGGGCACGGTGGAGGTGGGGACGGCGCGTGGGGCGTTGGAGGGTGGCCCCACCTAGAGGGAGGGCGTAACAATGATGCAGTTAGCGAAAAACAAATTGATTTCAAGTCGTTGGGAGGGGAGACAAATGAGTCAGGTTTGCAAGCTTTTCCTTTCACTCTTCTTTTCTTTCTTCTTTCTCTCTTTTTTAACCTTTTCATAAAGCAACGCTAATGGCCACCCTTTAGATTCTTCTTCTTCTTCTTCTCAACCCCCTCCCCTTATCCTTCTTCTGCTGTTCTTCTTGTAACTCTTCAACTTCAATCCTCTTTGTCTCTTTCACTTTTTGCTTACCAGCAACCGACTTCAGCAGTGGTAACTCTTTGTTTTAATCACTCTCTTTGTTGAGTTGTTCTTCTTTCTTATTTTTATTTTTTTTGGGTTTTTTGGAGTTTGTAAACTCTCTCTCTCTCTCTGGCATTTCCATTTGGGTGCATGCAACTCTTTGCTCTCCATTCACTCCCACTTTGCTTTTCATTTTTCGTTCTATTCTTTGCTTCAGTGGCCTTACTTACAAGTGTTGCTGAGTGAAAAGTAAGATTTTACCTTTTTATTTATTTCTGCATTTGTGGTTGAAGTAGGCCGAAAATTATGGAATGTGGGTTGGTTTGACGATGTTCAGGAATGCATTTTTAGATGTTGATGTAATTGACAAACAATCCTCTTGTTTGATCTCGAATTATCAATGCTTTTACTCTGTTTCTCTCGCTTTTATTCTTAATTCTTATTATTGATTTATCATGTATTAGGTGCCTGCGTCATTGTCAGCAGTTTTTCACTTTTGTTGTGTAGATCTATATGGTTTCATGGTTTTGCGTGTTTGATGGGGGTAGGAGAAAGAAACCTTGTTTTTTTAATCTGGCTTTTGTTTCTATATCAGGAACTGCTGCACTAACTTGAAACTTAATTTGATAATGTAGTTTGGTAAGTGAAGGCTTGTTGGCACGGTGACTACGCTTGATCTCTCTTTTTACTAAATATAGGAAATAAATCACTTTGATGTTTAGAGACTAATATTCAACCACAATATAGCTGTTAGTTTATGTTATTGCTTCTAATCTTTCCCTCTGACTATTACTACTAATGCTAGCTGCTACATAATTTTTCTTCTAATTAAATGCCGTACTAATTCTTCCATCCTTTTCTTTTTCCCTTTTTTAGTTGTATATGAATTAATTGACAATTGATGTATTCGGCCACTTTTTCTGCTCAAACTAAATGGAGTCAAATGAGATGGTTATTTTAGTCTGAACTCATCTAGCATCGTTTACAATCTAACCATCTTTGCCTCAAATTCTAATCTTTGTTGATAACACTTCAAGATTCTATCCTCCTTCAAAGTCTAATCTTTGGTAACAACACTCTTTTAAGTCTTTATATTCTCTTATCAGAATGAGGATGTTTGATTTACAATGTCATTCATAATTGGCAGTTGGCAGATCATCAGCTACCGTGATGAACTTATGTTGTTTATGTTTTGATTGTAGTTTCATCACCAAGTTGCATGAACATGAATTTGGAATTTCTTTCTCGCATAATCAAACATGATTGATGCTTCTTAAAGTTCATGAAGACATTTATTTACTATTGATTTGTCTCTTATGGTAAAAGGAGCTTTGAGTACTAGACAGATCCTAGAAGTTCAACCATACCTATTCCATCACGCTTTCTTATTTTTAGCATTCTTTCATGACTTTACCTTCTCTAAATTACTTGTCACGTGTCCTCAATACGTTTGTCTAAGCTGGATTTAATTGTAGTTGTGGATGAAGAAAGGAGTCTTCTGTACTTAAACTTTGTTTTTTGACTCTTCACTGCTATATGGTTTTTACCAGACTACAATTTTCCTCATGACAAAGATAAGTCCGGAAGTTGAAATCAAGATGCCAATGGAGGCATTTCCGCCAGTTTCAGCTGACGTGAGCTTTATTTATGATAGTTTTCCAAAGTACAAACTAGGAGCTGATAATCAAATTCTGGAAGAGCCAGTTGAGGAAAACCAAGGTCCTTCATTGAAGGATGTTATTGAACAAGAAGCTTCCAATTTGTCCGACCAACACAAACGGATCTCAGTTCGAGACCTTGCCAGTAAATTTGACAAGAACTTGGCTGCAGCTGCTAAATTGTCTAATGAGGTTTTTGTTTCAATTATTTGCTTATGGTCTACTATTTGATTATTTTCCTTTACTTAACATAAATGTCCAATATTTTTCAACATTCCCCTGTTCTGTCAAATACACATTAGTTCAAAGCAAAAGTAAAATAAAATAGCTGGTTCAAGTTACATCTCTTTTAGATTTTAGGCAATCAGGAGTGCCATTGTTGAAATCAAGTTTTGTTATTGACTTCAAATCGCAGTTCATCCGTGTTTTTTTTGGTTGTTAATCTGAGTCGTGTTCTTTTCTCAATTTCTGATGATTCTACCGTCCTCCATTCTGTGTGAAAAATTCAGGCAAAACTGAGAGACGTTGCATCTTTGGAGGGACATGTTCTTTTGAAAAAACTCAGAGATGCACTAGAATCTTTAAGAGGTCGTTTTGCAGGAAGAAACAAAGAGGATGTGGAGAAAGCTATATCTATGGTTCGTTATTTTATCTTATTTCATGTTGAGTACACTACATTGTTCAAAGTTGGAAATGTTATTTCATTCCAATTGGTTCACTATCTTTTTAAGTTTTCTGGCTTACTTTTGTGGAGGGTGTTTTCATTTCCTTTTCCTGAGCCCCACATATTTATGAGAAGCTGTTTCATAATGCATGAGGAAAATTATTTTAGCTCTTCAATTCATGTTAATGATGCTAAACATTCATACTTAACAATATATTCCTCACAGGTGGAAGCTTTAGCAGTTAAGTTGACTCAAAATGAAGGAGAATTGATCCAAGAGAAGTTTGAAGTGAAGAAGCTAGTAAACTTTCTCAAACAGGTCTTCTTCGATATCTGAATTTTTTGTTGCACAATCTCCTCCAAAACATTCTGCTAATTCATAATTTAATTTACTTGAACAATTTATGAATTTTCACTATTAATGCTTTGATCAAATTTCAAAATTCATTTGGGTATGTTTTTTTACAGATTTTAAAGCAATAATGAAGTCGTTGTTTGACATGTGTTTGTGTATTGTTTGCAAATAAACTGTTTCAAACTGTACTGTGGTAAAGATTTTGGCAAGTGTACTAAGACGAGGAGTAGTAAAGTGGATTTTTAAGTCCAAGTATTGAAATCCAAGAGACTCGCACAATATCAATTTGTTTGTTACTTTTGAAAAATTAAATATTTTTGTTTTAAATAAAGTAAAAATAAATAGTAAAAGATAAAGAAATAAAATAAAGATAAAAATAAGAAGATAAAGAATAAGAAATCAAACTTTGAAATGAAAAGGTTGTTGAACAATTGACTTAAAGATTGATAGGATGAGTTAAACTAAGATTGGTAGTTTTGATTTTCTAGTTCTTTGATTTAAATATGTTTTGACAAGAAAATTGGTTTTGTAGGCTTCTGAAGATGCTAAGAAGTTAGTTAATCAAGAGAAGTCTTTTGCTTGTGCTGAAATAGAAAGCGCAAGGTCAGTGGTGCTCAGAATTGGAGAGGCTCTTGAAGAACAAGAAAAAGCATCCCAAGCTTCAAAACCTCAGGTATTAAAGTGTTGTTTGATTACACAATTATATGTGTGTATAATTTTGCATTAATGAATTCTTAATGAAGCATTACTTTACACTATAATGATATTCAATGTACACATGAGAATCATACGTTTGGGTGTAGGCAAAAGATTACCAAATACTACAATTTTAGGATAGAAAAGAGGGGTATGATGGCCACATCTTGAAGATAACATTTCCTATAGAAATTGTATATCCTGAAGAATTCTTATGAACTTTATTTCCTCATCAACTAACTTGACATAGAAATTTTCATACTTTCATTCATGTGAAAAATTCAATGCATAAAAATACTCAGGCTGGAACTATAAAAAGGAAAATAAAAGGTTTGTTTTCTGAATACTCTGTAGTTCTTTGCTTGTAATTTACATAGTATCTTCATATCATGTTGTATCATCCTTCATTTTGCAATGTATATAAATATGGAAAATCTCTAAAGATGCGTTAGTGGTATATAATATCTACTGTCCCTCATTGCTAGGATGTGGATGGACTAATAGAAGAGGTTCAANACTTAACAATATATTCCTCACAGGTGGAAGCTTTAGCAGTTAAGTTGACTCAAAATGAAGGAGAATTGATCCAAGAGAAGTTTGAAGTGAAGAAGCTAGTAAACTTTCTCAAACAGGTCTTCTTCGATATCTGAATTTTTTGTTGCACAATCTCCTCCAAAACATTCTGCTAATTCATAATTTAATTTACTTGAACAATTTATGAATTTTCACTATTAATGCTTTGATCAAATTTCAAAATTCATTTGGGTATGTTTTTTTACAGATTTTAAAGCAATAATGAAGTCGTTGTTTGACATGTGTTTGTGTATTGTTTGCAAATAAACTGTTTCAAACTGTACTGTGGTAAAGATTTTGGCAAGTGTACTAAGACGAGGAGTAGTAAAGTGGATTTTTAAGTCCAAGTATTGAAATCCAAGAGACTCGCACAATATCAATTTGTTTGTTACTTTTGAAAAATTAAATATTTTTGTTTTAAATAAAGTAAAAATAAATAGTAAAAGATAAAGAAATAAAATAAAGATAAAAATAAGAAGATAAAGAATAAGAAATCAAACTTTGAAATGAAAAGGTTGTTGAACAATTGACTTAAAGATTGATAGGATGAGTTAAACTAAGATTGGTAGTTTTGATTTTCTAGTTCTTTGATTTAAATATGTTTTGACAAGAAAATTGGTTTTGTAGGCTTCTGAAGATGCTAAGAAGTTAGTTAATCAAGAGAAGTCTTTTGCTTGTGCTGAAATAGAAAGCGCAAGGTCAGTGGTGCTCAGAATTGGAGAGGCTCTTGAAGAACAAGAAAAAGCATCCCAAGCTTCAAAACCTCAGGTATTAAAGTGTTGTTTGATTACACAATTATATGTGTGTATAATTTTGCATTAATGAATTCTTAATGAAGCATTACTTTACACTATAATGATATTCAATGTACACATGAGAATCATACGTTTGGGTGTAGGCAAAAGATTACCAAATACTACAATTTTAGGATAGAAAAGAGGGGTATGATGGCCACATCTTGAAGATAACATTTCCTATAGAAATTGTATATCCTGAAGAATTCTTATGAACTTTATTTCCTCATCAACTAACTTGACATAGAAATTTTCATACTTTCATTCATGTGAAAAATTCAATGCATAAAAATACTCAGGCTGGAACTATAAAAAGGAAAATAAAAGGTTTGTTTTCTGAATACTCTGTAGTTCTTTGCTTGTAATTTACATAGTATCTTCATATCATGTTGTATCATCCTTCATTTTGCAATGTATATAAATATGGAAAATCTCTAAAGATGCGTTAGTGGTATATAATATCTACTGTCCCTCATTGCTAGGATGTGGATGGACTAATAGAAGAGGTTCAAGAGGCTAGAAGAATCAAACTGTTACATCAGCCAAGCAAGGTGAATTGCTTTCTTCTTCCTCAATACCGTTAGCGGGTAGTTTTTGCTTAATTTCACTGTACTTTATTTTATAATAATGATTATAATAGTAATAAAAATAATCCAGATGTTAACAAGAAGCATTAACACCAATTTTTCTATAATTTCGTAGTTACGTTGTTACACATATCATACACCATGCTTAGATACAACATTTTCACCTTAAACCTTTCAAAAGGACAAATTTTTTATTTGAAATGCATATAATTGTCATTAAATGCTGAAATTTGGTTTGAATTGTGTAAATTTGACCATACCATATCTGAAGAATTTTGGTATATTACATTTAATATTAACATTTTGAGTTTAATGGATATGTGTGTTCAGTGTGGAAAGATTTTACATTGTTAACCAAATAAAAATCAGCTTTAGTGTGACTTCTAGGGTGATTATTGTCAAAGTCAACAAACTTATATATGTTAGTTTGTGATTTGGATGACTTTGAAAAATACTTTACAATATCAACGCGTATCCTTTTTCATTCTTTTCTAATCCTTATGTGTGTGTCTACATATATTACTATTGTTTATTAATATACTCTGCTATGCCTGTATCCTAACTATACTTAAATTTCCATTTCTCTACGTCATATCATTCGGGATAACTTGAGCCATTACATGTGCAATCAGGCACATCTTAATCTAAGGACCCATTAACATTTTGAATATCTTCATAATGGTGAAATAGGACAATTCTATGATTTCAGGTGATGGCCATGGAATATGAATTACGTGCTCTTAGGGACCAAATTCGAGAGAAATCTATATTTTCAATTAAGCTTCAGAAAGAGGTTGGTTGATATCGTGTTTTACTTGCTCAAATTATCTATCAAAGCTATAATCAATTTTACTAGATTTGATTGGGAAGTCTTGTACTTAGCATGTGGTAGTAGGACAATAGTAGTTTATTCATATACTTTTTTTTCCCATTTGAATCAATCATAAATTGTTTGCTTCGATTATAGTAACCAAATTTTAACTCATAAATAACATGTTGGGCAAAATCTTGATTTGGTCGTGTTTGAACATGATTTTGGTTCTCAAACCATGTTTTGAATGGAACGAATAAAACCCTCATGTCTATCGGATAAAATTATGGTTTGCAAACTATAATTTATACATGTTATAAATACTAAGATTTAATGCACTCAAATCTACTTTTCTTGCAATAACTTCATTTCATCTATGCCAGCTTACCATGAGCAAGAGGGACGAGGAAAATAAATCTCGCCTATACATGTTAAATGGTTCTGAAGCTTTGGGTTCATATCTTCAAGTCCAGCCTTGCTCAGATGAAGTGCCACATGTATCTAAATGTTCGATTCAGTGGTATCGCTTGTCATCTGAAGGGAGCTGGAGGGAAGTTATTTCAGGTACCTCTCTTTTAGTTTATTTTCAATCGTGCTTCAGAATGCTCAGATCACAATATTGTATTGATATTTTTGAGTAACATCTATACTTGATTCTGTCAATTTGGCATTGGTCTGGAAGTTTTTGAATGACTATTGTATATTATACAAATTGGCCATTTTGCTTTCCATTTTAGATCTATGATTGAGATGTAAATGTCAAGAAAAGGTTTGATGCCTTTATTCATTCTTAGTCTTTCTATAAATAATTATTGGAGCATTTACATATGTATCCTCTTTAATAATGTATCCTATTTTTACAATCCAACAATTGTAACTTTTCAAATATACTTCTGCACCATTTAGCTCCAATCTGGTGGTGGAATCTATTTTTATTTGTAACCTTCATAATGAATAATGTTTTACATATCTTATTGACTTTGTTTATGCTGCGGTTTCTTTGACTGGGCTCCAACAACTAGTTGATCTTGATTGTTTTTAATAATGTTTGAAGTTGGTCTCCCTTCATTTCTCAGGTGCCATCAAATCAATATATGCTCCTGACCCCTCCGATGCAGGGAGAATCTTACAAGTAGATATTGTCTCCAATGGGAAAAAACTTACACTTACAACTAATCCCATTCAACCTGGTTAGTTTCTTAAGGGCCTTTACCTTTATCTTTTCCCAGAAAATAACTTCCGTTTTCAAGTGTGCATAGTTGAGGTTATCTTGTACCTGACATTAACTATTGATGCACCCTGAAGTAGATAACAAAGGCTAACAGCTACCTATCTGTGTGTAACAGTTTCAGGACTTGGAAGCCTTGTAGAGTCACTTCTACGAAAATCTAATGCTGATTTTAATGTATGTTTTCAACATCCTTTCTAGATTCAGTAGTTTAACTCCTGCCAGAAAAGGCTGTAGAGAAAGTGTCATTTAATTCAACAAATATTATAAAATATATGTTTGTCTTCTGAGTAGTTTCTGAAGATGATGTTTAAAAGAAGAGTTAAATTATGTTTGGTCCTACAATTTAACAAACATTATAAGCCTTGCTTACTACTTGGTTGAGAAATTTGATTGTAAGTTCTTGACACGGGATTCCAGGCCCTAAGATGGAACACCCCTTTCCTATTTCCACTCTCATCGTCGCCTCCCACCCTGTATTATAATTGTTGCAAACTTGCAAGCAAGTTTTGAGTATTGGGTGATAAAGATGGATGCTATATGTTTTAGTAATTTTTGTTGTAGCGTACAAAAGAGCCGTACATTTCTTGAACCATTGTGGTCTAATTGAGTAAATTTTGTACATGTTTTATATATAACTCAGCTTTACTGTTTCATTCTTTATATGTGCAGCTAACTATCTACTTCCACATTTTCACACACTCCTTTTATCTGCAAAAGAGAGGAAGTTTTGCTTTGGTAGTGGACATTTCTTGGGAGAATAATTCATGGTTTGTACTGGATTTTCACAGGTAGTTATTTCTCAAATGAATGGAAAAGATCACTCATCTCATTCTACTCATTCATTTAATGTGGGGAGGATGAGGATAAAGCTATGCAGAGGTTGGATTACAAAAGCTAGAGAGATTTACTCCCCATCAATGCAGGTACTATTTTCGCAATCAGTCCTTATTCTTGAGTCCAACACGTTAAACATGAACGTTAAAGGCTCTCCATCTGCCCCCGGACACATAAATTCACACATGGGGAATTGACACTTTCAGTTTCAATGTCTTCCCAGTACAGAATTATTCCTTTCTATTATTTATTTAACACAGACAACCTAGATAAAGAATAACATGTTTTTATCGAGGTGCAATGTTCCATTGGTGTACTGTTTTTTCATGGTTTATTATCTTTTAAGTGCTCAATTTGACTACCTTTTAACTAACATTTTTCTTAACTACAGCTATGTGGAGTTAGAAGTGATGTCAGTAACGCAGCGAAGGCATTGTTTTGGCAAGCTAGAAAAGGTCTCTCATTTGTATTAACCTTTGAATCAGAGAGAGAAAGAAATGTAGCCATCATGGTTGCCAGGAAATATGCTCTTGATTGCAATGTATGTACCCTTCTCACCTTACCTGTTACTGATTCATATGTTGACTTTCTTGTCTCATGGTTCAGATCCTACCTCTATCCAAAATGTTTGCATTTTTATTCGTACTTTGCTTCCAAATAAATTGCTGTCTATGTATTTGTAGGAGATTAAAGATAATGCATTTACTGAAAGAGTGAAGTTATTTTAGTAAAATTGTTTCAATAAGTTATATTTAATATTGTCATTAATTTGAGTGGGAAAAAACCTTAAACTACCACCATTTAGACACAGAAAGCAGTACTTCCTCTATCACAATCAGTGTGGTTTAAGGCTTGTGACACGGATCATGAACAGCAGCAAATATAGCTTTTTGAAACAATTTTGTTAAAGTACATCATTTTCTCAATAAATGACATTGAAAAAAATTTATTAGGAGACAAATTAATTATAAAAAATATACGCTTTAATGAAAAATTATGCATTTCCTTGTTGAAATTGATCCCTTTGATGCAAATTAAAAATGGGTATTTGTTTTGTAAATGCAGGTGGTGCTTGCTGGGCCAGATGATCTAGTGTAGAAGCAAAATTAACTGACTGAGTTCTTCCTACAAACGTGAGGTTTATCATATTCTTGGTGTGAGTATACATGTGTGGTTGTATTGTTAAAGAAAGATGTGATTTCATACTTGTGATTGGGTTTCCACTAATTGAGTTGCATTGTTTTAGGCATGTTTTTTTATTTGCCTAATCATGTTGTTCCTAGCTCAACCTTTTATAATTATTAGTTCATTTGTTCATTGTGGCTAATTTGCATGTGCTAGTTGTTTTGTAATGTAAAGCACATCCCAAACATGGTATATACCAAAATTTCTTAATGATCATTGCCAAGTAAATCTGCTATGTATGCCTCCTTTTATTGGGAAGGAAGTAGTGATTTACACTCAAGTGAGTATTGCTTAAGGATAAAAATAAACTTTTATCTTTAGATTTATTCTTTTCTTATTACTAAAACCAATTGAACTAATGAATTCCATTGTTGCTACAAATAATAAATTTGAAGTTTTAAGTAATGAAAATTTTGAGACAGTGAGAATCTAGAATCATTCTTAAAGTGATGTGTGCTTTCATCTTAATTCATTGTACTTTTCGTACTTGTAGAAGACCCACGAGAAAGAGAGAAAAAAAAATTCTAGATGATCGTTAACAATATCTCTTGGTGACTCATTAGTTACTACTAAGAGTAATTAGCACTGTATCATACGTGGATAAGTAAAATTTGTACACGTGTAGTGTTTGGTACATGAACACTACAAAATGAAACATCATGCTCTATTTTTGTTCTCCTTAATTTCTCAAACTTTTAACACTAAGATTAACGTAAATATTGTAATCAAATTATGTTTTTAAAATGTATCAAACTTATATAATAAAAAATGTTTATGCTTCATCTTGTTTGAACATTGGTACCTATTTTTGTGGTAACAGCGAGGGAAGATATTGATTGGGCAACGATAAAAACTGATTAACAATAACATTGGTGGATTATCGATCATTGATAATACTTATTTTCTTGATAAACTTGTAATTAGGATTTTGATCAATCAAAGAAAAATTAATTTAATCACTTTTTCCACATCCACTCGGTCATATATAAATTTCTTTACTTTTATGACAATTATCTTAAAAGTTATATGCATAATGATTTTCTACTAGTTGATAGTATAAAAAAACATAAATATTAAACTCTTAATCAAATATAAGAGATGTAAAATAAATAAGATTGTTAGCCACTAAAAGGTAATAATAACTATGACAAATAAATAAATTACTTATTGATGTTTCTGTTTTCTGTTAGGGACTTTTATGAATCTCGTTTCTCCTTTCTCCCCTCACTTGAACCTTATATATTTCTAGGATTTTTCTTCTTCTTTTTGTAACGTACACACAATACAATAATACAAATTTTATGAAATGTTAAAAGTTATTCCTACCTCTTGATGAAACTCTCTTCCCGATCGTTGCATTCTTCTTCTTCTAGACGTCGTGCTCCGTTACTGCCATGAAGTCTCCATGCATATTCTCTCATTTAGAGGCTAGCCAGCTGTGTTGTAATCCTCGAGACTTTTGATTCGAGAAGACTCTAACGAGACTTTTGTCTCATGCGTCATGGGCTTGTTTCTTTTGGGCCTTTGTTATTAGCAAACAGTGGTGTAACATCTCGATTTTTGGGATGTCTCGATTATGAGGAAAATTTTAAAATTTTTAAAATCATAATACCATCGTGGAAATCAACTTATATAATATCGAAATTAAAAAAAATCAAGAAGAAATAAAACAAACCTTATTACACTGTTTCTAAAATTTATAGCACAAAAGCTTTAAATAACCCAAGTCATCTTCTCACTCACGTGTCTCTATCATGCATCTGGAGCATCTGTAACATCCTCTGCTCCCGTATAACCAAATGTCACACGATCATCGCAAAACACACACACAACCATAACACAAACAAATATGGGTAAGCTACCATAGCACAACCAATGACAATAAAATTTGTACATAGGAAACAAGCACAACTTAATAATAAATCAATCATCTACAGTGTTATCCTACTAACATAATCATTTTTACACTCTTACTATCATCAGTATCCTCATTAACCCTATCATGATTATATCATCAACATTATCCTATCAACATCGTCTCCAAACACATCGTCACTATGAATCATCATCACATGTACCTCCATTAGATTTAACTTCATCATGAATCCTTCATCTTGAATAATACCATGATCCTCCACAATATCATAACTCCATAGTGAAAAGAATTAGTCACGCCTCTGTACCCTACCTCAAACAGTGGGCCTTGTTTTAATATGGTACCAGAGCAGGTCTTGTACCTGTTCTACCCCTACCTCCGATGTGCTTAATCTTCTTAGTTTCTTGGTGATTGGTTCTTTTTTCTAGTTTTTCTTGCCATCATGGAGAATGTTGATCAACTCAACAACCCTTCCAGTCCTTTTTATCTTCATCGTGGAGAAAACCCAAGTATCTCCCTCATTTTGCAGGTTTTAAATGAATCCAATTATACTTCCTGGAACAGAAGTATGAGAAGAGCTCTCCTCTCCAAGAACAAACTAAAGTTTATTGATGGAGGGATCAAGAAACCTCATAAAGACGAACCCCTTTTTGATTCCTGGGAAAAGGAACAACATGATGGCGTTGTTCTGGATAATCAAAACCCTTTCATCCCAAATAGTGGAGAGTGTTATATATGTGGAAGATGCTCAAGAGCTGTGGGAAGAATTAAAAGAAAGATTTTCCAAAGGTGATCACTTCAAGTTTTCATATTTGCTTCAAGAAATACACTCTATCAGACAAGGAGAAAGGAGTGTGAGTCAATATTTCACAGATATGAAAATCCCACGGGAAGAGCTAGAATTTCTTATACCCATTACGTGTTGTAGCTGCAAAGTTCCTTGCAGCTGTAATTTGTCTAAGGTTTCTCACAAATACAGAGAAATGGAACATGTCATTTGTTTCTTGAAAGGTCTAAATGAAAGCTATAACATTGTTAGAACCCAAATATTGTTAATGGAGCCTCTACCCAACATAAACCACATCTTTTCTCTTATTATGCAACAAGAAAGGCAGGGAAATCATGAGTTTGGCCCTATTAATCAAAATGAAATCAAGGTTTTGGCCAATACTATTGAAAGACAATGTCAATGGAAGAATGAGAAAAATTGCAAGGATCCTAGACGTGGTTCTGGTCCTCGTAGCCAAGGGAGAAGGAGAGGAAGAAATCCCAATTTTGGAAAACAATGTTCTTATTGACATAAAATGAACCACACAATTGATGAATGTTATTCTAAACATGGTTATCCACCATGGTATAAGAAGAATGACAGTAATAATCAGGAAAAGGTGGGACAAAGTGATTGGGGATCTGTCAGTGCCTACACTGCCTATACTGAAACACATATCAGCTAACAGAATAATGTCAATTTTGTTCAACATTCATTCACCCCATAACAAATGAAGAAAATGTTGCAAATAATAGAAAAAGTTGATAGCCTTGCTCATAACATTAGCCAAATACATAAAGACACTATTGAGGACAAACAAGATATGTTTTCTTGGATTAGATACAGGGGTCACTGATCATGTGACCCATGACAAAAGTCAGTTCATTACTTTTTATAAAATCAAGCCCATATCTGTAAAATTACTAAATAATTCCATTGTCACAACTCACTATGCAGGAACTATACAGTTTTCCAAACATTTCACTATCTTAATGTTCTGTATATTCTTGATTTTACTTTCAATATCATATTTGTTCAAAGTCTGACCAGAGATATAGATTGCATTCTAACTTTTTCCTCTAAGATGTGTCAAATTCAGGACAACTCCACATTGAAGATGATTGGATGTGCTAATGTCTACAAGGGGCTTTACTACCTACAATCTTTTGGAAGAAATCTCCCACCTTGCTTTGCTTTTTCTTATGAGCATGTAAATATAAATTTGTGGCATTATAGGTTAGGCCATCCTGGACATAAAACTGTTGTGAGAATATGCAAAATTTTTCCTTATATTCAAACTAATTCTAATAATGCTTGTGATATCTGCCACTATGCCAAGCAACACATATTGCCTTTTCCTAAAAATAATTTTGTATCTTCTAATTGCTTTGATATCATACACTATGATATATGGGGACCTATCTCCATTCCTTATGTCCATGGGCATAAGTATTTCCTCACTATTGTTGATGATTATAGTAGACATACTTGGATTTTTCTTAAGCATAATAAAAGTCAAACTAGAGAGTTACGTCAGACTTTTATTATAAAAATTAAGACTCAATTTAATAAGAATGTTAAGATCATTAGAACTGATAATGGGCCAGAATTTAATTGTTCCAACATATATAACTCTTATGGGATTGAGCATCAAAGAAGTTGTGTTGAAACCCCGCAACAAAATTCTATTGTGGAACGTAAGCATCAACATATATTAAATGTTACCCGTAGCTTACTTTTTCAATCTGATATTCCCTATGCTTATTGGTCCTATGCTTTATCTCATGCTATATACCTAACAAATAGGTTTCCCTCTCCTGTTATTAAAGATAGAACTCCTTATGAGGTTTTGCCCAATAATCCACCCACTTATCTGAACCTAAAGATCTTTGGTTGCTTGTGTTTCGCTTCTACTTTTGAAAATAATAGGAATAAGCTTGACTCTAGAGCTAGAAAAGAGTATTTTTCTAGGCTACAAAAACGGTGTAAAGGGTTACATCATTCTTGACATCAATACTAGAGAAATTTTTATTTGTAGAAATGTTGTTTATTATGAAGATGTTTTTCCTTACAGAAATGAACAAAACAATAAGGTTAATTGCAATGACAATGAAGACATTATGTTTTTTCTTAATGATTTATCCTGCAGCTATGAGAAGAGTTTGGTTGAGAACATTAATGTCAATGTTGATAATGCTGATCTCATAGAAGAGAAAGATCTTCACAATCAGAGGAGGTCAAACAGAAGAACTCTTGAATACTTAAAGGACTACATACATGAAGCTGACCAGTCCTCATCTGCTTCCCTATGCATAAAAAATGGTTTGAAAACTCCTTATCCTATCACTAATGTCCTATCTTATGAATCCTTATCTGATAAACACTTAAAATACACCCTAGCTATAACTGCTAGCAAATAACCTAACTCCTATGATGAGGCTAGAAACAGTCTTGAATGGACAAATGCTACGCAGAAGGAAATCAAGGTTTTGCAGGATAATGATACTTGGTTTCTGACCCAAATCCCTCCTGGAAAGAAACTCATTTGGTGTAGATGGGTTTACAAGGTCAAATATAAGGTTGATGGTAC